AATTATTTGCATTATTCTCTTATGCTTTTTTAAATTGCGTTCATGCTGTAGAGCAGTTGAATATAACTTGAAGTGTCTTTGAGGTGATGGATTGGGATCTCTTTTATGATGGAATAGTTACAGAGATTAAGGAAAAATGTCTCTTAATTTTGAGATATCTATGTCCTGATTTTCAGCATAATAAGCAATGTCTGGAGTGTAGCAGAACTTGTGCGTTGGAGAGATAAATATTGACAGTTGTGTGGTATTAACAATTCTAGAAGTTATAGTGGGGCGAGTCTTTAGAAAATGAAGAAGATAGATAGATAAAGAATGAGAAGTATTCTTCAGCTGGTTTTTACCTGTCATCTCACACACATTCTGGGAGAAGGGAAAAGCCTTCTTCAATCCCACAGCTTTGGCTTGTATGAGATGGAATTATCTCCAGCCACTGAATGAGGAATTTATAATTTAGAAATTATTTTTTCAGTGGTTTGTTTTTTTTTTTTTCCTCTTTCTTTTTATAATATACACTAGTTTAAGTTTTTTAAAAATACTGCCAGACAACAAATGCCATGAGCAGATGTAGCTACTTTCTGGGTCAAATCCTTGTCACCCTTTTTCATTTTTAATAAAATATTGGGTTTATGTTCAAGTTTTCCAGGTGTGGCACACGCATCAAACACTTGCTGTGGCAAAGCTAGAGGTAATTGGGAGACATGATAGATACTGAATAATGTGAACGGTCTTGCTAATTCCTTCTCCTTTAGGGTAATCATCTTGCCACTGTTGATGACTAGTAGGAAATCACCAACCTGTTACTTTCAAAAAAATCTTATTTTTTTTTTTTTGATGGAAACATAACATTTCTATATAGAAACCATGATCATAAAATAGAGAGGAGTATTAGGAGGTGTAAAGTGATAAATCTTCAGCTATGTGGTTTTCCAGAAGCAGCCAGTGAACGTCCCCCATTGCCCTGCATCCTTTGGTGCAGGAGCTTTGTGGGCATCCAGCCAGCTACAGCCAGTTCTTCTGAAGGACCTGGCAGCTCAGTCATCTCGTGAGCATACTGGAGTGCGCCAGTCCCAAGAGCGCCTCCCAAGGAGGTGGTCTCTGGGCATGTGTGGGGCTACCTGCTCTGGTTTGCTGTCGTGTGGATACACTGTCTGATTGTGAGATTCTTAGGGTAGAGGATGTGTACCTTAAAGCTCTCATCTATTTCCTAGTTCTGTTGCTTCTAAAGGCAACAGTAACAAAACTATTGTGTTTGAACATCCTGCTGTACTGCTGCAGCTATCACAGCTGAGCAGGTTTGATGCCCATTTGGCCTGCAGGAGAAATTCACTCCAGATTGTTGCTCTGTGTGCAAGCTGTGTGCCACAGCCTGTGGAAGTCCTCAACATAAAAAGGACATGGAGCTGTTGGAGCAAGTCCAGAGGAGGGCCACGAGGATGATGAGAGGGCTGGAGCACCTCCCTTATGATGACAGGCTGAGAAAGTTGGGGCTGTTCAGCCTGGAGAAGAGAAGACTGCATGGAGATCTCATAGCAGCCTTCCAATATCTGAAGGGAGCCTATAAGGATGCTGGGGAGGGACTCTTCATTAGGGACTGTAGCAATAGGACAAGAGGTAACAGGTTCAAACTTAAACAGGGGAAGTTCAGGCTTGATATAAGGAAGAAGTTCTTCACAGTGAGGGTGGTGAGGCACTGGAATGGGTTGCTCAAGGAAGTTGTGAATGCTCCATCCCTGGTAGTGTTCAAGGCCAGGCTGGACGGAGTCTTGGGTGGCATGGTTTAGTGTGTGGTGTCCCTGCCCATGGCAGGGGGTTGGAACTAGGTGTTCCTAAGGTCGTTTCCAACCCTAACTATTCTATGATTCTACGAAGTCATGCAGCTTGCATGTGTGCTGCATGACTGTCATTAAACTTTTAGGCAGGGAAAGAAAAAGTGGTTTTAAAACACTTGTCATGACTGGAAGGTAAAAAGTTACACTCCTCAGTGAGATGTTGCAGTGTATGCTTTTTCTTTATTTTCATCCATAATATCTTGATGCTTTAACAGTGGCAATAATCATTGCTCACTACAGAGTATGTCACTGAGGTGCTCTCTAGATAATTTTGATTATTTTCTGACTCTTATGGCTGGATCATGATTTCCAAGTAGAACTTAAAAACATACCTCATTTGCTAATGTGAAATGCCAAATTACTTTTCCTTCCAAATACAGGGAAATAGAATGGAATAGCAATGCTTTTTTGTACTTGCATTAGCAGCATATTAGGTGTGTATGATACAGTCTCTTTATTCTAAGAGCAGTTCCCCCACACTGGTCTTCCCAGTGTGGCAGGAGGGGAAATAACTTAGTGATTCAACAATGCATTAATAGGGCTCTGTGTGTAGTCAAAAACCAGGCTTGCTAAACATCTGAACACCTTTATGCCTTTCAATATCTGAATGAAGGAACATCTTTCAAAAGCTTGCAGTAACTTAATGGAACAACAAATACAGTATTTTTTTCTGTTTGGAATTTGCTTAGAGAACCACCTTTCTTCTTTTCCAAACTTTCTACTAGGAAATTGAGCATATTCTTCTCATTACTTATAAACTTGGTGATATTTATTTGGCATGTGGGTGTGTTTGTCCTTATCTTCTGTCATGAAACCAGCACAAAGTCTGTATTAGTTAAAGTCTCTGATTGATAGCATTTTCAGCGTGTTTCTACTTTTCTGTTTAAACTTGCTCTTGTTAGGGAATAGGTTTCTTCTGCCTTGGCAATGTTCTTCAGAAGTTGTGCTACCTGCTATCTTATCCAAACTTGTATTTCTTCTCCTCCCTAATCCTTCTGGAAGTTGGAATGAGGAAAATTCTAGAGTTTCTAACTTCCACCTCTGTTTACAGCTATAAATTGATTCTCAGCTTTTCTTTTGTCAAACTTTGCTGAGCCTTTGCACATGACACTATTTTTCTCTGTCTTGGAGTTGCCTAGACCATTTACTGTTGGATTTAATGATCTTAAAAGTCTTTTCCAACCTTAATAATTCTATGATTCTGTGAAGGTAAGACATGCTAAAACCACTAAGAAAATGAGTGTCAGAGAAAAAGTACAATGGATGTGCTTCCTATATATAAAAACCTCTCCACTGATAACCTAAGTTCCTTTCCTCTGTTGGTTGTTTACAGGATCTTGTTGTCAGGAATTGGCTGTTATTTCATGGGTCTATCCTGTTCTAAGTTTAATCCAGTTGCTAAGAATACTTCCATTAAGTTGTAACTATTGGCAGCACTTTAGGAATGCATATATATATTACTAATTTATATGCAGCATTTTTTCTTTTAATGTGTGAAAGCATATTATTAATTGTGTTTCTCCATTCTCCTTGTGTTCAGACTTCCTTTTACTTAGCATCAGGGTGATCGGTGTGGGTCGTCACCTTGAACAGAAAGCTTTGTCTAACATTGTGAGTTCATCTTGTAGACTGAGATTCACATCTCGAGATATTTGTCTCCAGCATCTCATTGAATGAACAAAGGCTCATTTAAAGGATGACATACTTGAAACTAGATGTGTGTGTGTTGCTCCATCTATAATTTTGCCTTGCTAACAGTACAAAGCAATTGCTCCTCTGCTTGTGGTAGCATTTACCATGTCAGTCTGACCTGTCTGATTTAACATTTTCCATGCAAAGCTTCCCAAAGGCAAAGTCCACTTGGTTTGCAAATTCCTTTTTTCCCAGAGTTCATGTGAATAACACATCAGCAGTCCAGTTTTATGCCTTTAAGTATTTTAAAACTTCATAGTTTCTTAACATTGAAAGCTCTGGGAGTCAGACTCTATGCTTAAAATAACCATAGCAGAAAAAGGCTTAGGCTGTGAAACACTATCGTGTGTTCAGTAACAAGGAGACTCTATAGAGGAAGAATAGAAGACAGTGGAAAATAATGAAACTCTTTGCAATGTAGGTTAAATTTTTCCTCCTTTATAACAGATATTTTTCTTTTCTATCAGAGAAACATTAAAAAGGAAAACCAACAGCAATGACTGTACAAGCCCGATTGCAAATACTCCTGGCTCAAAAAGGGATGCCCACTTCTGTGCAGTCTGCAGTGATTATGCTTCAGGATACCACTATGGGGTCTGGTCATGTGAAGGCTGCAAAGCATTCTTTAAAAGAAGTATTCAAGGTAGGACTATCAGCTTTTGATAACTTTGCTCAAATGAGTTGTTTCAGGGACTGCAGTGGTTGATCTAGTAATGAATTGACCAAAACTCCTGGCATATGGTGCTGCATGCTGAAAATAGAACAACACATGATTTAACTAACTTATCTTTCGGTTTTTATGTTATCAACATCTGGAAACATTATAAAGTGAGCGGTTGATTTCTTTACAGAAAAGGTGGAATACACAGCATGGGAAGGTCCTGCAGCTCAATGGAATGGCACCACAGACCTGTGAATCTGATTATAGTTTGTGCCCCAAAGTAGACATAGTAACTGTGAATTTTTTATAATAGACACAGTTAGAGTAGGTAAATATCTGGAGTCTTTGCTAGCCAGGAGCTATTCTTGGCAAGAGTGTATTGCCTGAAGCTGTTGAGTCATAGCACATAATATCTACACAATATGTAGAATATAAAAATATGTGGAGCAAATATTAGGTACTTGCTAAAAGTACCTAAAAAATGATTTTTGTTATTTGTCAGCCCTCCATCCCACAGAGCCTACACTGCAGTATTTCTTCCACTGCCAGATCTCTCCAAGATTTCCACTTCAGTGCTTCAATCCTTAAATATTTGGTATTTAGTTCAAATTTGCTGAGTGGCTGCAGTATGAAGTAAATGTAGGATTCCATGTTATCACAGGCTATGGGCAGTAATTTGTATTGCAGTTTTGCACCTCTTCATTTTTTGAACCATAGGTGTAGTTATCATGTTCTTTGGTCTCACTTGGGGTCTCTTTGTGGACACTTGGATTGACACTGGATACTACATGCAGATACTAACAGAAAATCCTGTCGTTTTTCAGTTTATAATGTTCCTTTCCTCTTCTGCACACAAAGCCTTTAGCAATCTTGAGATACCTTTTTTTTTTTTGCTCAATATGGCAGAGTTGGTGTCACCATTAGAATCAATTTTAATACAAAACTTGTTTCGCTTTTCAATTTATTGTGCATGTTCTGCATGGATGAATAACAATTTCTATACACTAGTGCAAGTACTTTTGATTTCTAAAATAATTGAAGAGAACTTTATCCCCTGGTTGTCACAAATGGAGACTGAATTTGATCTCAAAGTGTTTTCTGTCAGGAAAATTATTTGCTTGCTCTGGGTTGCTCACATGTGCTTTGGCCATGAACAAGTTACCCATTGTGGCCTTTTGTACATGTTAATGTACCCTGTCAGGTAACATTTGCTTGTAATTCAAGTAAATGAAAGTAAGTTCTTGGCATAAAACACTAGCAAGCACTCAGTTGCAACAAAAATCTTCTGGGCCTACTATAGTCTAAAACATTGGGCCAATGTCTAATTAAAATTAAACGGTATGACTGAGCAACGGTTTGCGGTCTCCTCTTCTTGCTCAAGTTTGTACTGTAGTGTATTCATCCCACATCCCTGAACTTCTGCTTGCAGGCTAAATTATCCCAAAATCACAGGAGTTTTAGACCACTTTATACTCCTGTGTGCTTGGGTTATAGTGCAACAGAGAGCTTCCTCCTCCTTTCCCTGAGTGTTGTGTGAAGAGTGATAAACAGTAATTCGGTTTTCAGTCATATTTGCCAGTAGGAAATGGGACAAACTGTAACCTGATCTCTTCTTTTTAAAATTGCTGGTTCAAAAATTCACGGTTAAAATTATTTTAATTTTGCAAGGAAATAGTCACAGTGGTTCAGTTAAACAGTTACTCTTGGGGACATGAACTCTTGGACTTCCATCAAGTAAAAAAAAGCCTCTAGTAACACTATCTTTGCCTAAACTAGTCTTAAAGTTCAAACAAATAACTTAAACATGAAACTGAGGGAAGTAAGAAATGTAAATGAGTGAATATTTTTTTCATCCTTTGAAGTATTTGGCAGGAGATTATTTGACTGTGTTTACACCAAGAACATACTCAAGTCCAGTTTACAGTAATAAAGCTTTGAGACCAGATTACTGAGTAATGAAATACAATAATGTAAAGGAATTTGGGTAGGGGTGATGTGAGATGGGAGAGAAGGAGAAGAGAACAGAAGAGGCTGTAGTGGAAACTGGTGAAAATAAGAGAAACACTTGTCCAGATTATCTGTCAGTTATACTTTCTGCTTGGGCTTTTCTTTGTACTATACAGTATAAGTCATTTTAAACTAGTCTTCTTTCTATCTTGAGCTGCTTTTTAAATTAACTTTGGTCCAGGGTCAATCCTCCAAAGGCTTCTTCATTCCTGAAACTCACCACGTCAGAGAGTTCAGCAAATAGAGCTGTGGTGTACCTAAATCTTTGCAGGACTAAAGGTGTGTGCACTGACTGCTGTTTTCAACTCTGCTGAGGAAAAAATAATTTACTATCTACCACCTGTAAGAGTCCCAGTAAGAAGCTGGAGGTTGGGAGCAAATTTCCACAAGAGTGAATGTCCCATTTTCATAAATGAGTTGGTATTAGAAGTTGCTTGGCTGTCTAACAGTCATCACTAAAAGCCGCTGTATGCGCCTGGTTACTTTTTGAGGCCACAGATTGTTGTTTTCAGTGAAATATAAATATTCATTTGTTCATCAGGTAAATTAGTAGAGCTTAGATATGAAGAAGTTGCGATGCTTAAAATCAAGAAGGTCCTGGTTTGGGAAATGACAGAGAGACTGTTGGAGATGTTAAATTTTCTCCTCTTCCTCTCCTGCAGGACATAATGATTACATCTGCCCAGCTACCAATCAGTGCACGATAGATAAAAACAGGCGCAAAAGCTGCCAGGCGTGCCGGCTGCGGAAGTGTTATGAAGTGGGAATGATGAAATGTGGTGAGTTTTGCATGTCTGTCATGTCTGTGCGGATTACTTGGTTTTGCTGGGTTGTTTTTATTTTTCCCTTTAGTCAATTTTGTATAGTGCTTTTTTTTCCCCTTTTTTTTGTTTTTTTTCTTTTTCTTGGGATCCTAAAAGGCACTACAGGCAATTAAAGCAAGGCTTAAGCTGGTTTTATAGGAAGGAATGTACCAATTCTTAATGCAAAAATTTTTAATTTTCAGAAGAAAAACTGTGGGAAGGAGTAAGGTGTAGGCTGGGCACATGAAAACCACAGTACCTCTCTGCAAGAGTGCTCTCAAGGCATTTTACTTGCATGCTGCGTTCTGCAGAATGGGAACCTGAGATCGGCTGCTGCCTGAGCCTCAAATCAAACTGAAATCTCTCTAATATGGGGTAAATGAGCCTGTACTCTGCTGTGCTGGCTGAATGTAATGCAAGACCAGCAGTGCCGCATCAAAGCAGTAATTAACCCAGTATCCTGCCTTCAACAGTGGCAAGAGTGAATGCCTTGGGAGGAGTGTAAGAATGAGACTTGCACCTGTGTGAAACACCTGCTGACCTGTATTAATAGAATGGCAACTTTTCCATTGTCCTTCTTTTTAGTCCTATAAAGTCTACAGCATCTACAACATCCCATAGCAGCTTGACTACCTGCTATGTGAAGAACCAGGTCCTTGGTTGCCAGCCTTCTTTGTGGGGCTTTGGTGGGGCAGTGAGGAGAAGGCAGTGGGTGGGCTGTTCTTTTTTACAACAAGCTATTTTCAGATGATGCCATGCAGCTCTTCCATCAAAAGAAGTAGTGAACAAAGATTCCTTGTTACTGAACCATTCAGAATTATCCAACCTTTTCTCTTTTCCTACCTTGTACTTGCAGCGATGTGACTTCAATGTAGTTGCACATTTACAGATTATATTTTAAAGGTTACTTTTATGAAGAAAATAGCCTGAAAGATATTTCAGTATCTAATATACTTTCACAGCCAAGATTTGTTGTTTATTATAGATTCTCCAATGTACATGATAGAAATAGGCTGGGAAAGCAACATATAGGAACACTGGAGTGGAAAGAAGGGCCCTGGTGCTCAGTCCTCTGTGATTTGTAGACATGCATCTCATTCATCCCATTTAATGTAGATACTTATTTCTATTTCAAGGCTAAGCACTGTTTTAATCCTTCCATGGCTTTGATCTGAAAGCTGTTTGCAGAATATTATTTCTTTGGTTAGGATAATTCTTTAGAATTCCAGCCTCCATTTATTGCTGAACAATTAATGCCCATTTGTTCTTGTGGCAACATTGTCTTGTAGCTCCTCTTTATTGTTAATGGTCTGGTTGTGTTTATGGTCTACATTACATCCCCTTATAACCTTTGTTTTATTATGCTACATAAACCAAGAAATCTCCTCCTCTTGCAAAATAGGAAAGTATCTGAAAGTCATCAGGGTAGCTTGTCCCTCAATCTGCTCCAGAAATAATCCATTTTTCACTTGGATGATCAGAATCATGGACAGTATTCCTGTGAACTTTCTTCACAGTAGTAGCATCAAAATCTCTTACCATGGGAGCTTTTCCCTGTGTACAACCCAGGATCCTATTTGCCTTGTTCATGGTTGATTTCAGCTTCCCTATTCATTTCTAACTGATAACTCCCAGCTTAGAGCTACAATTTCAATTGTTCCTTGTATTATTTTTGTACTTGTGAAGTACATTTAGTTTCTGTTGCTCAAGTCATCTAGTTCTTGCTGTATGAAGCTCCTTTCGTCTTCTGCACTAATGATGCATCTCAAAATTATGGATTATTTTCATTAATATGGTCTTAGTAATCTTTGCAGTCTGGCCTCCGGAAAGGAAAGCCTTACACTTGCAAATGAGACTCCTTTTGAAACCTTACTTTTTGAATGGTGTTACTGTCTTTTTTTGATCTCTGATATTTTATTCGAAGTTTTTTGAACAGGGCTTTCTATCAAACCTCAGTTCTAGAGTAGGAGAGTTTTTGTAAAGATTGATTCCAATGTGATACTATAAGGTGGTCCTCCTCAGTGCTTTCCTTAAACTAATGCTTCCATTCTAATCATCCAGGAAGTCCTGGTTTGTGATTAGACCTCCTAAGCACTATGGTATGACAAGTAATAAATAACAGCATGTACTAATGTCTTAGCATGTGTTCCTTTTAATCTTGTCACATATTCATAAACATATTTTCCTACAATAATGAATATTCTAGGACATTAACGACTGTGCCAGACCAAAAATGACACTTTGAAACTATTAACAGGAATTACATTTTTAAAAAATCAGTTTTCTAAATAGTAGCACTGAAGTTTGACTCTTGAGAATTTTATTGAAAGTCTCAACAGTTTAATTTCAGAAAAATGAATATAAAAATTAGTCAGAATTTTCTGAGTTGCATGATCAGTTAAGTGGCATCTGTGAGTAATGGTGATGCATGGACACATCATGACAGCCATTTAAACCAGACAGATTTTAAGACTGTATTTCTTGCATAAAATGTAAATGCTGTTTCCTGCAGACCAGAGTGATTATCCTTCAAATTTTCTCTTGTTAGAGATATGCTTTAATACCAATTTTTCATTGTAGAAAGCCATAAAAAAGTATGTTTTCTTTTTAATGGAGGTTTTTCCCCCATCTCTGCTCCTTTTCTAGGTCACTTAGTGAATGCATTGGTTGACATCTGCTAAAACCATGAATAAGATAGAATTGTTTGCAAGTGCATTTTTGCTCAGTGGAGACTTGTTGTCCAGTAGAAGTGATAAAAGAACCTCAATTACTACTTTGTAGTTTATGAAAGCTCTCCATAAAGATTCTGTACTATTTGCATTAAATCTTTAAATCCTTATTTTGCATCTTATCAATAGACACCTTGAGAAAAAAAATGCATATAAATAGCATACATTTCTGTGTGTAAATGTGATTGCACAGTACATGCCGTCTTTAAAAGAGGAGGAGACAGTAGGCAAGTGTGGCTTTGGAGTTTCCTGGTCTGAAGTTCTCTTGGGTGTCATCACATTCATAAATGTTGAGACTCAACCCAACAAGCCACACATATTTCAGTGGAAGCTAGCTGGGGGTGCTTTGTATTAATGTGATAATGAATTTTCTTACAAAATGTACCACCATTGCCAAAAGCACAATGAGGGGCTTAGACAATGCACCTGCAAATTTCATTGTAGGAAGTCTGTGTTGCCTGCTGTTCCAATCAAGAACGCTACTGCTAGATTTTGGCACCAGGACTACCAGCAATGGTAGAAAAATA